GACTCACTCTGTTCGCTCGAAAAGGCATTTATTGTGACATTAGCGACAACAACTTGCGCTTCGATCAGTCACCTAGTCATGATCAGCATAGATCGCTACATAGCGATCAAATATCCCTTGAGGTACCAAGAAATTGTCACAGAGACGCGAATATTAATCAGTATTGTTCTAGCTTGGGGTTTCACGTTATTGGAGACAATCAATGAACTTGTTCTGGCTCTAATAGACAGTGACAGCGTCTACTCTTTTTATTCGCACGTGAACACCATAATACAAATTGCTATCGGAACTCTTTCCATTGTTGTTATTTTTTTGTCTTACGGTTACATTTACTCAGAAACTCGACGACAGGTTAAACGACTCAAAGCCGAACAACTGCCTCAAGAGGAAGTCCAAAGAATCAAGAACGACAGAACAGCAGCCACTACTCTGGCGATCATTCTGATTGCTTTAGTAGCCACTTATCTACCAACAATAGTACTGACTGCTCTTTCAAGTAGCATTGCGGCACCGCCGCGTTTTATATGTGTCATTTGGAGCTGGGTAGGAGGCACTTGCGTGTTAGGTCCCCTGTGCAACCCCATTATTTACTGTTGGAGAATGAAAAATCTACGGCGCGCATTTCTCGAGATACTACATTTAAGACAACCTGAAAACACTCTGCCAGAAATAGAAGTGAGAGAAACTGAACGCCATCAACCTCGACCCAGCACAAACCACGTTTTCCCTCTGCCCGCAAACGGACAACCCGTCTTGCTATCAGTTCGTCATCTGCAAGCCGATTAATCACTCCACAAGTTTTTTTCGTGAATCAACAACACTTTGACGATGTTATGAAGTGATTTTACTATCAATAAACAGAAAGGACGGAAAAAATGGCGTCAATAAGTCGAAAAGACCATGGAAATGAAGCAAGGATGGCGCAATTTGTTTTCTCCTGCCTCTCGCGCGCGATTTTTCAAGAAACGTCGTCGAATTGAAAATGGACGATAACAATGGTACTGAAAAAAGGTCGTCCTCTAACTGCGATAATCTCCTTTGCATTAGTCAAGCACCAGTCGGTCTTCAAAATAGATGCAAAAATAGACGCAATTTATAAACGAATAACTAATTTGATATAATCTCCTCTTTATGCCGTGAGTGAGGCGTATCAATTCTCCAATGTACCCCAGAACGCAGGTTTATGGCAACTGCAGGTTGCGTGAAATACCTTCATTTTCAGTTTTTCCCCTTTTTGTTATATATTTGTATTCCTTGCATCTATTTTAATTTACGTGGATTAATAATAAATTGCTGTTCTAGTTATTTTCTTGTTGTTGTTGTATAAGGCTGAAACAAGACTTTAGATTTGCTACTTCGGTTGCCATGTTTTCAATTCAAAAGCTAAAAAATTGCAGTTTTCAATAGGCCACTTCCGAGTTCCAAGAACCCTCAATTTCACAGTACAGTATTGTTTTCTATTTCGTTTTGTTTGTATAGAGCTTGTTTCACTCATCTGATTTCTTCAAATTTGAGTTTCAATCTATGTTTATGGTACTATGATAAATTGGTCCACTTTGATAAAGAAATTAATGCAAATGTATATCGTCATAGTCTCTGGGAGTATTCTAAACGTTTCCACTATTCATTTGAAGGCATTTGACATCTCATATAATGTTATCTACATCGAAACCTGTATTAGGCGGACACCCTGTATTAAGCGGACACTACAGCATTCCCCAAGGGTGTCCGCTTAATACAGGTTTCACTGTATTTCGTTCGCGATGAATATTTCATATCTTTTTGTGTGTTTTCGAGATTTTAAGAAACGTTTTAAGAAAAACTCACAAAGACGAGGAAAATGAATCAAACTGAGTTTCCGTAGTCAAATTGTTTAAAACAAAAACAAGATTACCTATAGACAACTTGCACTTAGTTAATTGGCTGTAGGTTGCTTTCAGTGTGGTTTTTTTGTTTTTGTTTTTGTTTTTTACTTTAGTGTATGCAAGATGGGTCTTCCGACTTTTTCTCGCTGGTTTTTCGTTTTACCAAGTTTTCGGCGACGTAATATGCAACACACTAACAGATCAGTCAATGGTATTTCAAATCGACTTCGAATTCATTGCGCTTCGCCATTGTAGTGCAAATCAGCAAATGATTCAATTAACTACTACAATTTCATTATCAAAATCCTATTAGTATTGCACAGGACGTTCCAGGTTTCAACAAGTAAAACTTGTCATAGTCACATTCAAACGTTATCGTAGCCAGCACACTTTGTCTTTACGCGGATATAGCGTTATAGGTCCTGCGTTTACCGTTAGGCTAAGAAACTGTCGCTTTCTTTTCACAAAATCGCTGCTGGTAAGGCGCAAAGCGCCGACTTCAATTTTCCACAGACTCAGACTCTGTCTAAAGGTTAGGTTATATGCATTTTGAATACGGAACGCACTATAAGCACACCGCATCTACATCTGTTAAATCACTAGTTCCGACGTTACCTGTTTAGGAGCACGTTCCCACTATTTTGGAACAAAACAAACCAGTGGAGAAAGTTGTAAAAGCGTCGATTAAAATTTTTTCTCCAACGGTTTTGAAAAGGCAAAAGTAATAGGATTACGAAGCAAAGGACTACTGAGGATTTGATATAATTTTAAACGGAGAGGGTGACAAAACAACGAAGGCAAGCTTCATTATAAAGTTACTAATTCTCGCAATGCAATTAATTGTGTAGGAAACATAGATTTATGAGCGTAAAAATTATTATATAAATAAACTGAATAATTATTACATAATGCTTACATTCCTTAACCACCACCTTTCTTGTCGTAGCCACTGCCAGATGTTAAGATTTTCCTAGTCACCTGACCAAAAAAAAAGAAAAAAAGTAGACTGTTCACAGTCCCCTATTTTTTCGTGAGATCGTTTAGATATACCGCGTCTTACGGTCACGGCTACATCTTGATTTTCAAATGTACCGAGGGGGGTGTCGGGGATTATAGCTCTGGTGGGGGGTGGGGGACGAGAAAAATAGAGGGACTGTAATAACAACACTGCAGCTCGCGTTCACGGAGCGCGTTGTACCAGCAACGCAGGCCTTTGATTGGTCATTAGACAATGGATGTTTATTTGCGTTGACAACGGGTTTAGTTTAAGTTGCCGACACTGAAAAGTCGTTGACAAGTCGATATTTCCATAAAACGTACGCTTTCATACCACAAGGCACATCTTGCGCAAAAGCACGAAGGAGTTTTGGTATTTTGATTAGAAAAATGTTTTCTTGTGTGTGTTTGCCGATTTTATTTCGAGGAATGGGCCTAGAAACATTATAAAATCACGGTTTCCCAAGGAGATATTTGTAAACACTCGTAATCGATGCTAAATGTGTCTGGCATGTTTTTCATCACTGGCGGAGTTTCTTAATTAATGAATGGTAAAAGGCGTGAAATTCCTGTCACGCCTCCTGAACGCGAGCTGCAGTGATGTTATTACAGTCCCTCTATTTTTCTCGCTTCCTCCCAAACCGCCCCCGCCCCCTAAGTAGTTTTGACACTCATCTAAGATGGCAGCCCGTAACGCGAAGCGCTCGATCTCGACGATCTTACGGAAAAATAGAGGACCGTGAACAGTCTAGAAAAAAAGAAGAAAAACAGAGACTGAGAATTTTCTACTTCGGTAGCCAATTTATCCATTAAAGTGCTTGTGTTTGTGCACTTGACACAAGACTGACTTAATGCTTGCGCTTTTGTTTGAGTTCACGCTTGCATCGCTAATGAAAACAGAGCTTAATGGTTATTTCTCTATAGAACTATATGCCGCCATGCTCGAAAGGGAAAACTTTATACAATCCAATTAACAAATTAACCTCGAAGCTATTTTGCGGCCACGCATTAATTTACTTCTTTTCTTTCTTTGGCTTTCAGAAAATATTTCTTGTTATTTTAGACGAAATGAATCTGATATTAGGCCCGGTTCAGACGCCGACATTTTCATGAGCCGAACCTAAAACATTGAATTAAGTACATGAAAAGTTCGGCGTCTGAATCAATAAGGAACGCCTGTTTCAATTTGGAGCCGTTCTTCCCGCCTAGCCCGACCGGGAATTTCGCCTTTGGAGCGACTTTGGAACGGCTTTGATTCAGACGCCGAACTTTTCATGTGCCGAACCTAATGCATAAATTATTATGTTATGTAATATATTTGCAAGCAGTTTAACTCTGAGAGCAGTTTTCTCTTTTTGAATTTAGTTCGGCTGGAATCAAGATCGGCTTCTGAATCATTTGGGTGGGCCTTCATTCCAATTAGGTTCGTTTGTGCATCGATAATTACTATCGTTCAATTAAGGAAAACTCAGTCAGAGACAAGGAAGAAAAAAAAGGAAACTGGCCTTTACTAGTCAAAGAAACAAACCGCCTAATTGTATAAGACAACGAAATAAAAAATCATGATACCCCAGGCCTATAATTAACTCCCACTTAAAAAAATGATAATTAATTGACTACATTGTCCTTTTAGGCTTATATTTTTCTTTCCTGCCTGCAAGGTGGACCTTCCCACATTTCACGCAAGTTTTTCGTTTCATCAAGATTACGGCGACGTAAAATGCTACAGACTAACAGGTCAGTAGAATGAAATTATAAATCGCCTTCATTGCCTTGCTACACCATGTGTTGCGCAAATCAGTAAATGCTTCAATTAACTACTGGAAATTCATTATCAAAATCTGATCCGCATATTGCACCGTAAGTTTTTCGTTTCATCAAGATTTCGGGGACGTAAAATGCTACAGACTAACAAGTCGGTTGAATGACATTATAAATTGCCTTCCTTACCTTGCTTCACCATGTGTCGCGCAAATCAGCAAATGCTTCAATTAACTACTGAAAATTCATTATCAAAATCTGATCCGCAGATTGCACCGTAAGTTTTCCGTTTCATCAAGATTTCGGCGACGTAAAATGCTACAGACTAACAGGTCCGTTGAAAGACATTATAAATCGGTTTCATTGCCTTGCTTCACCATGTGTCGTGCAAATGAGCAAATGTTTCAATTTACTACTGAAAATTCATTATCAAAATCTGATCCGCATTGCACCGTAAGTTCCATTTTAAAGAAAGTTTAAACAAGTAAGGCTTAATGTAGTCACATTAAAACGTGCGGACGCCAACACATTTACCCTTTAAGGCAAGTCCCGCGTTTATTATGAGACTTCAAAATGGCCGGTTTTTGTTTTTTCCTCAAAATCATTGCTTGTAGGTTCGAAAGGCGACTTGAAGTTGTCCGCCGTCTCAAGCCACACGTATCCGATAAAAACTGTCACCGAAGAGGCAACCTTTCAAAAACGCTCTTAGCGGTGAAAATATGTTGAAAGCCATTTCCAGTACTGTACTCGCGTGTGGAGGAAAGATTACGGAAATTTTCGAAAATGATGACATAACGGTATCTAGTCTCAAGTGGGGGAAAAATGATTCCTGCACTGCCATATTTCTTCCTATAAGACTACAGAAAATGTTAATTTTTTTTGCTCTTATGCCCAGGTAAATGTTCAATTAGCTTTTCCAGAATATGGCTACTTGTACCAATGGTCAGGGTTAGGTGGTAATGAAGAATTTCAATTCTTAAAAGACGGAATCCATCGGGAAATTGGGTAATTCTAATTTTCAGTCGACAAAAACCTTGAACCAGAATATTTTAAGCCATATCGTATTTCTTTTTCTTTTTACACTTTTCAAGTGCTATAGATGTAATTTGTAATCTATAATAACACCAAACACAATTTCTTATGGAAGCCCGAGAGGATAAATATCAAATTTCACGGGAATTAAGAAAACACAGGTAAAATCGATCTATCGTCATGGTTAGGATTTCATTTTGAGAAATTTGAAGCTTTTGAAGTTTTTTTTTTTTGTGCAAATGAGGCCTTTTGTTATTTAAACCTCGTTGGGATCTCCAAATTTAAATATGAAAACGAAAAGGATTTTGTAGGTCGTAATAGTAAAATGACGCCATCGCGCAAATAGAAACTTAAGTGACGTCACAATTTACGTGTCAACGGGTTTTTGTGATAAGTGCACAAGACTGTTCTTTTTCAACATCGACTGTATTGTAATCGGGTCTCCTTTCCAGGGTAGGCTCGTCAAAAAAAGGTCCAAAATTTTGCCTTATGCGCATGTTACGTTTCCTTTTTAATACCTAATTTCTATGAATCTAGCTGTAGTGAACAGGTGCTTTAATAGCAAAGTTGAGAAAATTTAGCACCATAGCAACTATGTTGCACTTTGTTCTACAAACTGTGGCCCGCCGTCTTCCCCTCCCCGAGCCCCTGCGATTTCAGTGGCAGAAAATATCTTTCTGTATTGATCTACACTAATTTGATAGTTAAGCTTTAATTAATTTTGTTAAATTTTTTGAAACAAAAATAAACTGTTGCTGATCGTCAATGGACAAGTTCTGACGTTAAAATTCCTTATATCTCTACCCTTATTTTTTCCAGGTCTTCGCATCCGGAGAAAGAAAAGTGTAATTTTTATGTGCCTGTTTGGCGAGCGGAGTACTTACGAGACGATACCTACAGACATCTGGTTGCCCTGGTCTGTATCGATCTAATAGCAGCACTGTCAACGATCCTTCTAAATGCGCTGGTCATTTTTGCCGTGGCAACAAGGCCCCGACTGCGAAAAAACTCCACCATACTACTTGCCTCTCTCGCAGGGGCAGATTTGCTAACTGGTCTTGTTGTTCTACCGTTTGCCTTCTCGCTAGACCTTAAGCGACTCCTTGCACAGGACGAAATAACGTGTTTCCGTATTTTGGAAACTCGACGGAAACGGGAAGTTGCTTATATCCGTCACGTTTCCGCCCTGCGGAAACATGGTGATCTAGTTTTCCATGGACGGGACGCGTTTCCGCCATGTTTCCGCGTCGGAAACGAACGATCATGTTTCCGCCACATTTCTGTCATCACATTTCCGTTCTTTCTTTTTTTCCGTTACGTTTCAGGTGACGAATTTTTTTCTTTTTTTTTTTAACCCATATCCAAGATCGCATGATCAATGTTTCGTAAACTTTGCCTTGGCGTACAATCAAGGTGAATAAAGGTAAATTTACTCTCGAGATTAAACGGTTCTCATGCATTACTCGCGCGCGTTGCATTGATGCAAAGACTGTGAAGTGTGCGAGGTTGCCATTGCTTTCCATTCTAAGTGATAAAAATCGCAGAGCTTACCAACAGCTTTCAATATTTGCCAGATTGATGTTAATCAGTACTAGTACTGGCGTAAAACTAAAATGCTCTTAGACGGAGAAAACAACAGAGAAAACAAGAGAGAATGGGGCCTAGAACAGAGCGGAGTGCTGGTCAGCGGACTTTTCCTTTGCTCATGCTCATTACGGTCATTCTTTTTGGCGTCCATTTTGAAAGTGATTTCAACGGCTTCAAATTTGCCAGCTTCTATAGGTTCTAGGAGCGTGGAATCGGTATATTTTTGCTTTCTGATGATACCACAAGACATCTAAGGGTTGTTATGTATATTTAGCGACCCATCGGCTGTCAGTAATCGATCGCTTCCCTCGTAAAGCGACTCTTTTCTGACACAGTGGAGCAGAATGTGAGACAAAAACCTCGTGATGCGCAAGTATAATTTGAAAGTTGGAGTGTTTTACCGTGCTAAGGCTATCCAAGGCGGAGGATTGTGATGGAATACCGATAGTAAGACGAGGTAAGCTTAACAGTTTTCCATATTTCACTTTTGTGGTCTGTAGCATTTGAGATAATGCTTGGGAGACATATTTGTTAACACAAAGCTGTGATTGATAAGTACAGTAATTTCCCGAGCAGGAAACTGCAACATAATGAACCTGAATCCTCTTACTAAACAAGGCGAGGCTCTGCACTGTGAGGTCTGTGAAATGATTGTAGAAAAATGGTTAGAGGGTTCCAGTGATTTTGTTACAAATAGTATATGCATGGTGAGTCCTGGGACTCATTTTGTGAATAGTCAAGAGTTCTGGCCTGTCCACATGCACAACCAGTGAGTCCCAGTTAAAAAACAGGGAGTCCTTAATTGAAAATGCTTGGTATGGGCCTTTTAACCAGACAGTTAATCTGGAGACAGATGCCAAAACTTTTTATGACAGTTTACTAAAATGAAAATATAGTCCTATATATTTAAACAACTGCTACAGAAATCGCACAAACAGGATATTCTACCAACAAATCTTCAAATCGATCGATCATCCTTTGCATCCTACGGGATGCATGCCATGAATTATTTTGCGTCTTTGGATAATTTTTTGTGTGAGGGACACAAGATGCAGAGGTAACAAAATCACTGGGGTTTGAAACCATTCCAAATAGTGCACCAGTTTAATTTACTGAGAAGGACGGTAACAAATATTGTTGATCGTTTCATATGTCCAGGAAGCCCCTACACAGAGTTTTTTAAACAGCGACGACCAAGTATGTATGCTACGGAAATACAAAAACATTTAATCGAAAATCAGGTTGTTGACCCGCAAAGGTTCGATAAGTCATGTATTGACACGTGATTTCGGTTACTCTTGCAAAGAGTTGACAATAGTTCCAAAAGAGAGCTTAATCTAATAATATAATAATGCTTGACTGAGAATGCTCAAGAAAAAGTTGAAGCATATATTTTTTTTCAGTAATTGTGATCCCAGGAATAGGTACTTCTTTGACGAGAACTCAGTCATTAAAACAACTGGGAAGTGAAGTTACTGTTGAGCAAACTTGTGAAGCTCAGTCGTAGTTGACAACTATGTCTTGAAGTTCGCAATTTGATTCCCTAACTTGCTAAGTAATTGGCTACTTCATGATGTAGTACCCAATTTTCCAACGAACTTTGCAACATGGTGTGGTAAATAATGTGAAATCGACTGTAACAGAGTGATCCAGACTTTAAGAGCGCTTTCCATTTGTCGGAACTGGCCGGCCGGACCATTGTCCAACCAGTCGGTTTGATATTGAAATATGCTTTTGCCAAGAGTTTTTGCTGAACAACCATTTCCTTGGTGCATACTACTTAGGATTTGACTGATCTGGCTGGAGAGATTTGATTAAAATGGAAATTCTCATTGCATTGGGAATGGTTTGGCCGGTCGGTTCTGACAAATGGAAAGCGCCCTAAGTCTTCATTTCAGTGGACAGCAAAACCAGCAGTGGAGTTAAACTAGTAAAACCACTTTTATTTATCCTGTATTACCCTGCAGTTCTATGCAAACATCATATTGACCAGGGGGAAGGAGGGTACTCCTTAAATATGTTCTCTTGAAATCCAAACAATGTTCCCACAACTTGCAAAGCAACCAGCAGATTTGTTTACTGATCATTCCTTGAATATCTACACTCATAGCTCAGCATACATTGTTGTCAGTTAAGATGTTACATGGTTGCGGTGACTGTCACATTTTTTTTAGTTTCTCTTGCATCTTCAATACCAAGAAACAATTACAACATGTGAGAAAAACAAAGAGGCATGATATTTTTGTCAATTATTGACTATATTTTCTCTGTTGGTTCGCCTCTCACTGCTAAAATATTTACTTTAGGAAACACATGTACATGTATATCCAGTATATCACATTGAATGTTTGGCTTTCAAGCTAGATCAAACTCTTTCGAATGAAAGAGTTTGATGCAGCTCAGCCATTCAACAAAACCCACTCACAAAAAAAAATTGAATAGATCATTTGATTTTTGAATTCAGTCAAACATTGAGTTGGGTTATCAAACAAAGTGGAACTCACATAAGGAACACTCAAATGGAACAAAAACAAGCGTTTCAGTTCCAAGCAATTGATGACAAGTGTGTTAATTATTGATCTAGTGTGAAAGCAGTCAAGGCGACGTAAGATCCTGCTTCTTTTATTATTTCCATTTCAGAGTTAAATTCTAAAATAAACATTTTCTGTGAAAATGTCAATACATCTATTTTGTTTACCAAGGAAAAAGTCTTTAAATCTGCAAGTTGAAATCATCTTGGTAATCATCTCAGTTATTACTCTTCACTACATAATTGGCCTCAATAATATTGTAGCATATTCTGAATCCAGCACTTGTCAGATTTCCCTGGCTTGTTGAGTTGACTCAGTTTTCACATTTTATTTTTTTCCAATATAATTTGGTTTGTTTCGATTTTGTTCAGGCATCAAACTCTCCAGAAAGCTGGTTTGATATTGTTTGATGGCCAAACTGTTTTGTTCGGGGAGTTTGATGGGAACTTTGTTTTATGTAATACATTGTACACCGAAGTATACATTTACTGCAGTAAATTATCTGCTGCCCACCAGGGTTATCGCTTTACAAGTTGTGAGAACATCATTTCTTGCACCCAGACCTTGTTACTTTCCCCTGCTTCCCCTGGTATTGACCCTGTACGTGTAGATGATAATGTACAACCTGAGGGAGGTTGTGCCCTTGAAAAGTAGGCTTTTTGTTACTGGTACTGGTAATCATAGACAACCTCTGTTTACATTTACATGTACATGTAACCCCTGGTCCATAGTCTTAACGTTGCAGGTTGCGGGCAACATAATGTACTAACTATTACTATGAAACACAACTGTATGCTTGTAAAATTATTGTAATGTGATGAATCAGGGTTGTCAGAAAGTTTTGCTAAAAGGTTTTCCCTCCCCGATAGCCTGGGGAATAGCTTCTGTGTTTTACTTATTAGCACTTTGTTTTGTTTTTCATACAACAGGCCAGGCAGATCACCTTGGTATGTGATGTTGGTGCAGAACATTCTCTCAAAGCAGGCTGGTTCATGGAACTTAATTTCAGTCTCAAGTTACTGTGCTTTATGCTTAGTCAAGTTCTGCAAATGTTAATCTTGAAATACTACTTCTATGCTAAAGACAAAAAATGTCCAACTGCTACCTCGAGTGGGCAAGGTGAAGCAAACCTTGCATTCTAATTGGCTACCCAAGGGGGCAAGGTGAGCCCATTTAGCCCACTTGGGATTTCCTGCGTTGGTTCCGCAAGTAAAAGTTCTCTTCTTGGCCATGTAATAATTCATTTATTGACCAAGCTTGTTCATTCAAGATGGCTGAATATTGACCTCATTCATTTTTGTATTTTTATTGACCAAGACCAGGCTGTGCTCTGTGGCCCGTTGCGCCTACATCTATAACTTTTGTTCTCAGGCGACTAGAAAATCTTTGCTTTTTCATAGAAATCATTTGCTGGGCACACTGGATTTCACAAGTTCAGAGTGGGCAAGGTGAAGCAAATCCTGTGTTCTAATTGGCTACTCAAGTGGGCAAACCAATCAAGCTTGTTCGGTAAAGATAGCTGGGTATTGGCCTTGCAAAAAGGAGCCTGGCCAATATCCAGGCATCTTGACTGAATGTTGGTCAGTAACGCATAATCATTTATAACAATAATAATTATTAGTACTTTGTGAACATCTTTTCCAGAAAGGCATTTTATATTGCTTTAAAAGGGCTAGGTTATGCTATGCTATATTTTGTTCTTTGAGAGGCTTAAATGTGTCTTGGCTTAAATTAAGTTCCAAAAATAATGGTCCAGTTCTGTTATTTAAAACTTAATTGAGGCATTGGCACTGTTTCCCATCACCTCTTGCTATGTATGACAAAGATGATCATGGATTGAAACTTGGCCAACTTTTTCAAGGTTAAAATAATGCTGTGACTGCATAAATCACCAAGAATTATTATGGTTTGTGCTTCTTGATGAAATTGGCTTGATGCATGTATCTTCTTCATAACTCTACAAGTCAAGCATTTTGTGTAGGGGTAAAGACACTAAGGGCGCTTTCCAAAAGTCGGAACTGGCCGGCCAGACCATGGCTGGAGCAGTCGTTTTGACAATGAAATAGCTTTTTCCCAAGAGTTTTTGCTGAAAAACCATCTCCTTTGTGCATTAGTATTTAGGTTTTGACTGATCTAGTTGGATAGTTGTGATTAAAAGTGAAATTCTCGTTACTACTGGAATGTTCTGGCCGGTCAGTTTTGACAAATGGAAAGCGCCCTAAGCAATGACTTCAGCATAGAAGTGACCTAAAACGTACACATGAAACACATAAACCGTTTTAGCAGACTTGTATTATGTAAAACTGTAGCCATACTTTGTTTGTTGATGTATTTTTTTGCATTTCAATCTTTGCAGTGGTCATAGAAAATTGTGTAGTTTAGACCACCATGTTAGAAGAGTAAGAATATTTCCTGACACCATAATTATAACATTATCCTGAAGCAGAATGGTCGTATGAGTAAGTGGTATATGGTCATACAGGTTAGTATAGCACTTAGTGGGACTGTTGACAGGAACTGATGTTTTGACAATGCCCATGAAAATGGTGATCACCTTGTTGTCTAAACGTTAGTCGCTGTCAACAACAGTCCTGCTCAGGACTACAATGTACATTCACCCGACAAATCATATTCCACTTTGTTGAAATAATTATTATAGACAGCCAAACATATCACTAGCCATAAACTGCACATGAAAGTGTTTATCACTATCTGCTATAAAGGGTATTAATTTGTTAACAGATTTGACATTTTCTTTGCCAAAAAAACAGTACGTAGTCCTACAGAAAATTTCTAGTGGATTTCCTAAAGGAAGCCTCTTACTATTCCTGTTCATTGCTAGTGTGAATAGGCACTCACATTTAAAATGTAATTTAACTTAACCAATGTAATGAATAAATACCATAAGAAGACCTGATTGTCAGTTTAGGAAGCAAGAAGAATAAAGAAAGTACTTGGAAAGATTGCTGTGGTATTATTTTGTGCAATAAAAATGTCGAGAGAATGGGTTTTTGTAACTATAGATGGCGGGAAAACCCCCCCAAGATGGTGAAAAGCGCTTTTTTCACGATGGAAATAACTTGAAAACACCAGTTTCCGACTCGTAAACTCGTGTTTCCGCAATAGTTACATCCGATTACGTTGACGGAAACATGAAATTGACTTGTTTCCGGAACGTTTTCGCCTGTTTCCGCAAGGATGCCACGCATTTACTCTTGCGGAAACACGTGTTTGCTTAGACGGAAATTTGACGGAAACGTAGAAAAAAGTGGTACGATTCCGCCGGAACCGCAGCGACGGAAACACGGGTAAACGTAATGTATCCGCTAACGGAAACATGTGATTACCGTCATGTTTCCGCAACGGTTTTACGTGTTTACGTTAAGTTTCCATTTACGGATTCTTGAAATTTCGTCCTGTGTTGGTTTTGACTCATTCTGTTTGCTCGAAAAGGCATTTACTGTGACATTAGCGATGGTAACTTACGCTTCGATCAGTCATCTAGTCATTATCAGCATAGATCGCTATATAGCTATCAAATATCCCTTGAGGTACCAGGAAATTGTCACAGAGACGCGAATAATATTCAGTATTGTCCTAGATTGGGGTTTCACGTTATTGGTGACAATCAATGAACTTGTTCTGGCTCTAATAGACAGTGAAAGTATCTACTCTCTATATATGCACGTGAACACCATAATACAAATTGTAATTGGAACTCTTTTCATTGTTGTCATTTCATTGTCTTATGGTTATATTTACTCAGAAACACGACGACAAGTTAAACGCCTCCTCTACGAACAATTGCCTCAAGAAGAAATCCAACGAATCAAGAAAGACAGAAAAGCTGTCACTACTCTGGCATTCATTCTGATTACTTTAGGACTTACTTATTTACCAGCAATAATAACAGGGATACTGACTACTTCTCCAGGTAACATCGTCGGACCGCCGCGTGTTCAACGCATCACTTGGATCTGGGTAGAACTTTCTATCATGTTGGGTTCCCTGTGTAACCCTATTATTTACTGTTGGCGAATGGAGAACCTACGCCGTGCATTTCTCGAGATACTTCATCTGAGCCAAACCAAAAACATAAAGCCAGGAATAGAAATGAGAGAGATGCAACGCCATCAACCTGGACCCAGTAAAAACCAAGCTTTCTCGCTGCCCGCAAACTAGTAACCCGTTTTGTTTTTTAGTCATCATCTTGTCATCTGCAAGCCGAATACATCACTCCACAAGTTCGTCGTCGATCCACTCAACTGCACCTCGTCGATCCGCAACACTCTAATAATTGGTGCACCAATTACATGAGGCGACTGGAGACTAACCTTATGGAACTGGCCACCTCTTTGAAATATGAAGAAGCGAAAGAAGGGTTAATTTTATGCCCTGGTTAAGAAGGATGTTGTAAAAAACGCTATTTCGAACTAATCCATCTCAATGGTTTTTTCTGGTACTCTACTTTACTTTAAAATCCATGTGACTAAACAAGCCTCACTCTGCAATTCTATTTTGCCGCCATAACTCAAACTGCAGAGTCAGCAGTGTCGTATTTCACGATATATTTAAACTGACACGGCTGCCTCGCCTTCTTCTTCTTTGACAAATCAAAGGATACACTGAGAGAGCCAGTTGAAGACCTAACAACTGAGAAAATCGTCACTGTGCTCATTTTTGTCCTCGCTATGCCAGTGTCCACTGCATGCGACTTCAGAGAGATGATTTTGCACCATGAGAGGGGTGAAAACATTCGTGCGATCTGCGACCAGTCTCTCTTTGGCCCGAAAATCTGTGCATCGCGCTCACCCCCTTTATGGACCAAAAGAGAGACTTCTAGCAGTCTACGATGCTGAAAGAACGACTGATCCTTAGCTCTAGTGAACAATCCAGATGTGGAGAGTGATACTCACAAGTACGTCTCTATCAGGTGACCGTGAAAGTTCTTTATGAAATATTCAAGACTTATCATGGTAGGATATTCCTGACATTGCTCAGAGATACTGCCTATGACAGGATTTTCTTTAACGGAAAGAGCCCGTCTGTTGATTAGAACTCACTCACTTAAGTCAGTTTATGCTTGGCTTGGTACTATGCATGTCCTCAACCCTCGCCCCTTTAGGACTTCCAGAGCCCGTTCGTTGATACCTCACTACCAATTACTCATTTAAAACACAACATTTTACAGCAAAAAGGAAAGGCTGTGCTGTTATTGTGTATTGGTCAGAGTATAAAGTTAACTTGACTTGCTTCTATCTCAACCCCCTCACCACCCCCGCCTCATTATAGCCTGGGACCAGGCTCGGCAATGGGGGAAAAAGGCACGAGGTCAAATAGGAAAAATATCGGCGAGCGAAGCGAGCCGAGCCGTAAGCTGGGGAGGGAAAGGGCGGCCGCCACCCTTTCCCCTCTCCAGACTACCTCTCGGCTCACTTCGTTCGCCGATTTTTTTTTTTCGCCTACACCGATTTTTTTTCTTCTTTTCCCCCAATGCGGAACCTGGTCCTAGGCTAGTCTCATTAGGACCTCAACAACTCGCGCTGAAAGGGAGAAAAAGGCTGGCTTCGCCCATGATCGCCATTGTCGATCGCAAATGATCCCGAGAGCAAAATCAGAAAGGCTCGGAGTCAAGTTACTGGATCATCGTCTCAAGGTTATTATCACAACAAAAAGTTATCAATTGTTTGTTCACACAATGTTTCTTTCGTCTTTCACTAGACTGGGGTATTTCCTACTCCTGTTCTTCTTTGGGTATTGTTGATTTTTTGAAACTCATTTGAAGAATGCGTCTGAAAATTTCAAATCAGGCGACAAAATGAAGACAAAAAGCGATGGTGAACAATGAAACAATAAAATAGAATGCTCTTTCCGCGAAAAGTTCGCGTAAGGATACTTGTCCCCTTAAAATCTGATGTTTTTTTTAAATTAGCACATGAACCCTTGAAGCTTCGCTTATCAGGCACCAAATTTCCGCGGGGAACCCTCGCTCCACAGTTTAATCCCTAAACACTGATAAGAAGACTATTGTTTAAATAGAGATAATATCAATAATAATATGACAATGCACCGAGCCGATCACAATAGCTTAGATCCCCAATACTAACAAAAAGTGTCTCGGCTTTAACGACACTCTTGTCTTTCAGGGACTTGCTGATAAGCGAACTGAATGCGGCGTGGGGGAGGGGAGCAATTTGGTAGGCATGCCTGCTCTTAACCTCCTTGAATGTTAGTTACACGCAGGTTTATTTGGGAGACATAAGAAGCAGACGATTTTGAGGTGTTAGAGTGTTGGGTAGGGGAGGCGGGTAGGTTAGGAACAATATGCCTCTGGCATTATTACTCATTCTAATACAAACAATGAGGGGTGTTTCTTGGTGTTTCGGAAACCATTGTTGGTTTGCTTTTTCGTGACGCGGCATTTATATGGCGGCCAAAACATCTGTCGTGTAAATTTAAAAATTGACTAATTTTGGGAGATTTTGCTATCTGAACAGTTCTTGTATGAGAAAAAGTGACTTTAATGTTTATGAGTTCGTCAAGAGATGAATTCACCCTTTCGTAGCAAAACTCAGTGACAGATGTTTCTGTTTGTTTCCGACCCCCATGTTGGTCCCCATCCGGATGGGTACCAAAATGGCGTCTCCAGACGAATCTCCGTAAATTTGGAAAAAGTAGATTAACCCTGTCAAACCCAGAGTGAATGATGGAGACTTTTAAGTAAGGTGGTTCTAACTTTTGAGTTTGTGAACGAAGTCGTGTGGTGTGACCAGCTAAACGGAACGTTTAGCATTTGCTATTTGCTTTTCAGCATTCTACAAGAAGAAATTTTAGAATTCTATCGAATTTTGACTTTGGCCACTGTTTGGGAGTAAAAAGGGTTAAAACTTTCAAAAAGGTCGG